GTCACCACACACGCACACGCATACCCCTCACCCAGCTGCAATTAACCCATTAATTAGGTACCACAAATAATAGTAATAATAAAACTTTCATCGCATAGCTCCTTGGCCTCTGTGGAGAAGTCACGCACAGTGCAGCTTATCCCTGCAGCACACCGAGCAGGGAGTCCTCGTTGTAGAGGAAGAACTCCTCACCCTCCACCTTCACACTGCTGCCACCAAACTCGGGAAGCAGCACCGTGTCGTTCACCTTCACTGTGGGAGTCCAGTCCTTCGTTGCGGCGGCGACGGCAACCACAGTGCCCTCGTTCACCTTGCCGGCCACCTGCTCGGGGATGAGCACGCCAGCCTTCGTTTGCTTCGCCGCCAGTGTGCGTCTCACCAAAACACGCGAGCCAAGCGGCTGCAGCGTCTTCAGGGCAGTGAACGTGGCGCGGAACATTGGCAGAGTGTAGTTTGTCGCGGTTGTTTGGTGGAAAAAAAAAAGAAGTAACTTCTTTGTTTTCGTGTGTTGCGGTGGTCGCTTTGCTTTTAGTGGAACTAACTTTTTTTCTGAAACAGAGCGTCAGTATGTGATGTGGTGCGCCACCCAGAAGATAAAAGCCCAACAACAACCACAACAAAGGAAGAAAAAAAAAAAAAGACGATGCGTGGCAAAAAAAAAAAAAAATGTTTCGTTTTGTTTTATTTTTGCATCCCTCTAATGGACTGAGGGGAGGCAACAGCAGGAGAAGAAAAGAAGAGGAAGACGACGCTGCCTTCAAAGTCCCGTCAGGTGAGTGGGATGGACGAGAGGGCGGCTTCAACATTTCTACATATAAAGACCAAAGGTCATGGTGGAGAAGTGCACACGGAGTCTCCCACGCATCACAATAAACCAAAAAAGAAAAAAAACTACACGTAAATGATGAGGGGAGACTACACCACTTCCGTGCTGTTTCCTGGCGACGGCGACGGCGACGGCGTCCTCGCATTCTGCTGTACATGTGCATGGATGTCTGGCAAATAGTAAATCTGCGGCAGGTAGTCTTTGTTCTCATGCATAAACTTTAAAAGCTCATACTGCACTTGCCGCGCGAACGCGCTGCTCTCTGCAGTTAACTCCTTGAGGAGCTCGTTCCGCTTTTCCGTTGTGAGCTGCGACTGCCTACTAACAAACACAAGCGCGCGAGACTTTACCTCCATCAACGCCTTATGTGTCCGCATCTTTTCCCGCAGTCCCATATAGAAAACGGTGAATCGATCATAAAAGAGGATCTGAAGCTTAGGGGAACGGAGGTACTCCATTAGATTCAGACCACCAGCGTTGCTATCACCATCCGCACTATGGCCCTCGTCATTGCTATTCGACCGCCCTCTTGCCGCATCGCTGCTTACGACACGGGCCTCCTCGTAGCGGTAAAGGAGGTTCAGCAGGGACTGCGGCATCCCAACCAAGCACATGTAGTGGTACAGCTCCGGGCTACCGTTTCCAAAGTACACCACCGCCTCAATGAAGTGGGTCTGCTCGTCCACGTAAATCACGAATAGACTTTGTTCAGGCATCTGTGTTGCCTCTGCATTGTCGGTTGGGCCAAGCATTGGATTTAACTCCACAATGCCCGTCACAATAGGTGTGCTTTCCTTAATGTTGGAGTAGCAGAGACGCAGGCACCGCGCCGGATTAAAATCTACTGATCTACAGTAGAAAAAGAGGTAACTGCCAGGAAGACGAATGCGACTCGTCACCGGCGAAGCATACGACGGTAATTTTTTCTGGAGTGACGTGATACTCTTCCTGTCGTCATCCATGGACACGGGCACGGTGCCCATCAAGAAATCCGTCCGACGGCTCCCGTTCTCGCGCAGAACTCTGGTGTATAGTTGGTTGTGCGCCGCGACCAACTCCTCTTCCTTATCCTCTACATCAGTGTGGCTCTGATCAGCAAACTCCTCAAGGCCAAAGACCCCGAGAAGAACCTCCGCCAAGCTTGTCCCCACATCACGGGTGTTAAAATCATCGAAGCCTGGAGTTGTTCCGTAGCGACGTGTAAACATCGCCACGGGACCAGCTGCGTACACGCATTTGTCTATGGTACGGTAGTTCGCCTCAACAATGACACGTCCGTCGAAAACAATAGAACGTCTATTCAAAGTGGAGAGTACATGACTGTTAATATCCTTGTCTTCACAGCAGACAATGAGGCTGCAGTCCAGTTCCACGGAGTTTGAAATGCCTGCTGTAAAACCCTCATTGTCACCTTCCTCAGAGACCGAGACTGGCGACACCACAACGGTTATTAGAGCTCCACCATCATCGTCGTACTCCAATCGAGTCACACCGTAGCCACGCAACGTGTTTATGCCTAATGAATTGTACATCTTCACAATGCAGTCAAAGGCGTCCTTGTCCAGAAAAGGGTTGGAGGTCTCTGGACTCACCAAAATAATTTGTTGTGGGGAGAAGCCAAGTTTGGCAATAGACGTCACCACCGCAAAAGCGTCTAGACCAGAGCCGTACACAACAATATTGCTAATATTATTTGGATTTTGATCCAAGTCATGCAAATGTTGACGAAGTTTTTCCATAGATGACTCGCCATCAAGAGCCAAAGTGCCTTCTGGTACAAAACCACGCTGCGAATGCAAAGTCGGGGGTTGCACAGATTGATGCAAATGGCATATGGACTGCGGCACAACGTATTGACGCCCTGTGGTAAGAATAACATAATCGTACGGCTCATAGGAGCCGTCGTCAATAGTGACGTACTTCTGAGTTGTGTCGACGTCCACAACGGAGCCGTAAACAACGCGAATGGGGTTTCCAACCACAAGACTCATGTGCTCCCGCTCGAGCAGCTCCATGTGGTCAGCGGACCACATGTATGACTGCTGGTTGGGGTGTGCAGGCAAGCCATCGACGGAGACAAGAACAAGATTAGTAAAGTGCACATATGGAACCGAGAGAAACCGATGGATACATGTCAACCCCGTAGAACCGGCTCCCACCACGACAATACGAGTGTGTATGAGTTTCTTGCGATCCCCAAGTATACGTCGGGTGCCGACAAACAGACACGCAAGCGCCATGACATCTTCTCCCTCAATCATGCCCAACGACTCTGACTTCAACTCTCCAAAAGCCATGTGTTTCTTCTCCTGCACGCGACGTGGCGGTGCGCGCAGTAACTGCCGTAGCAGCGGTGCAAACGGCGGAGCTTGGCCATCTTCCAACACGAGTGCCATTTCGACGTGCATGTGACGCAGCATCTCCCGCACAAAAAATGGAATGTGACGGCGGTACACGGGTTTCGTGAAAAAACTACGCACCAAAATTCCTTGCATCTCTTGTCTAAAAAACTTTCTTCGCCCTTCCTCAGCGGAGAGGTGAATCTCCGTTGCGGTGTAGTCCCTCGGGCCATCAGTATAGTAGTTAACAAAGGCATCCACATCGTAATTGGCGCGCAACGCATACATCTCGTGCAACGCAATTGGCCGCGCTGAGGCCACACCCACAACAGCTGGCTCCCCCGTTCCACCCAGCGGAGACTCAAGTATGAAGGAGACCGAAATTCGCGATCGACGGTCCTGCAACGACGAATCCCCTGAATGTGAGATGCCGATGTCCTCCAACAAAGCCGCGACGTGCTGCTGTGAAAATTCACTGAATGACTCTTCAAGAAATGACGAGATTCTCCCAACATCCTCGCTCCTACTCACCGGTAGTACTGCAACAGGGTCTACGGCGTAGCGGCAGGTGATCCAAAGCCCCTCTGGCGTTGGAATTGTCTCTCCCTTCGCGCTCCGTGGGTGATACCGTCGCAGTGGGATATACTCAAATTGCCGCAAAAACGGAGGTTCCTCCTGCTCGTGGGGGAGGATGATCATGACGTATTCCACGTACGGAAACTCTTGAAAAACGAACGGCAGAAAGTGATCGGCACACAGGGAGTAGTTCGGATCAAGTTGAAAAAAGTTAATTTTCACCACATTTGGGGTGTCAAAGGTGTTGCTTTTAAAGTCACCCCACCTGCCGCTAAGAGGGCGAAGTTTGCCAAATACCTCCGTCATGTATTGCCGTGAAACCATCTGTTGCGTCTCAATGGATGCCTCTAGGCACATAAGGCCAACCATACGATGAGTGACGGCGTCTTCCGCAGTGATAACCTTGTGAAACGTGTCCTGGTCCTTGAGCACCTCATCCAGGTAAAACTCCTCTGGTAGTGCCGTGATGAGACCGTAGCCACTCAGCAGGTGCGGAACAAAGTCATCGTAGTCCTCCATGATTCCCAAGCGAAACTGCAGCCGCGGCACCAGGTTGGAAGCCATAATGTGAAGAAACGAGCCCTCAAAACGGCATCCCACAAGGGGCACAATTTTTGTGCCAAATCCTTCAATCGGCGGATACACGCACCCCGACGGAAAAGCAACAAGCACATGCATCGTTTGTGGCAGATTAGTTAGCACAGTGGATAGTAGTTCCACAATAACGTCTTCCTCCTTGTAGGCAAACAGTAACAGTTCCCTCTCAAGTTTAAAGGCCTTGGCGTCGTCCGGGGCAATTCCATTCACGCGGAATGCACTGGAAGGAGGCGCGAGCAAAGCCTTTAACCACAGCGTGTTGTACGGCGCAATGTGCGCCCCAGCCTCATCCCCGTCTTGGTTCTCACCACGCTCCAGTGTGTGTTCCCACGCGTCTCCAGGAATCGAAGTGATGTGCGGTATGTCGTCCAGACAAACAAATCCTGCCACTTTTCCCGTGATTGTGGAGGTTGCTGTAATGCAAATAACGGAACCCTCAATGAGTGTCAGAAAATCTGACTCGGTTCTCCACGGAAATAACGCCGCGGAGGGAGCACACGAGGTAACTGTGGCAAGCTGTGCTAGTCGTGAGAGGTCGGCCGCGTCAGTGGCGCGACTGCGCCGGGACACCAGGCAAGGATCCCGCTTTATGCTCATTGCACACAAATGTGAATCGAGTCGGACAGCCGCGACTTCTTCACTCCCTTGGCAGCCTTTTTTTTTTTGTTGTTGTTGTGGTTGCGTTAGTTATTCTAAACCCCTCACTCTCTTTCTCTCTCTGGAATGCACGACAAGTTTTACACCTCAGTGTACTACCTGCAGGAGGCGCAGGCACGTGTGGGTGCAAAGAGAAAAATTAGAGAAAAACTGAAGGAGTGGGCAAGTTGCCGGCGATACAATTCACCCAAAACACTGGGGAAAAAAAAAACTTCATTTGGGGCTCCCCTCCCTTTGTCCTTTCTTTCCGTTCCCCCCATTTTTCTTCTCTCGCACCCGCGCTCTTTCGCCCACTCCTGCTACACTTCTCACCCACACACAACTTCAAGTGGGGGAAATTTCCCTCGGCGCCTCCGCCAAACACGCAAAAAGGGGGCAAATAACACACGCCCACAGCAGGAGCGGAAAGACGTCAGCAAACAGCAGAAGGAAGGAGGCGCAGAAAAAGGCACTCGGAACGCAGTGGCAAGCCAATCGGATATCAACGAAGGGCAAAAAAAAAAATGAAAACTCGCGCACAATTATAATTAGAGAATTTCATTTCCGCCCCGCCTCTTCTCAGTTCCCCATCATGTTTCCCTTCCCTTCCATTTCGACGCCTTTCTGTCTTTCCATTGCTATTGCTGCTGTTTTTTTTTGTTGTTGTTTTCTTTCATTCCCCTTCTGTTTTTTTTTTTCGTTGCCATTGTCTTACTTTCCTCTGCTCCCTTCGTTCGTGCTTTCTACCCTTGCCGCATGCTCACGCATATTAAATGCGCACACAGACAGAGAGGAAAGAGAGCAATGAAGAGGGAAAGACAGCCGCAAAGTTGGAGCGCCCATGTGTGCGTCGCGTTTGGTGAGGACCGCAATGCGTTGATAGGTTTCCGTGCGAAAAATCCTCGCGTTCCTTACCCGCCCCTCTATTCACTCAACCCGCTCCCTCGCAAGGCTCTCCGCTACGCGTACATCCACACGTACGCGCGCGGGGGCTTCACCACACAGTAAATGTACTGATCCTCGTTTTCTGCGCATACCCCTTCCCCCCCCACCCCACCCCCCCCCACGCACACACACTTTAAAGCTGAGATTTCCATGACAACGGCACATTTTTTCTTCTTTTTCCCCGTTTTTTTTTTTATTCAAACCGTTTCCTTCATGTCTCTTTTGATCCGTGTAACGATGTTTGGGAGCCGCACAGGCCTCGGCCTACGCATCCGTAAGGGAGGCCAGAATGTTGGCGCGGATTGTGAGCATGTCGCGCGCTGCACCCTTCACATCATGCTGCTTCATACGCGCAAGGCGGGCCAGTTCCTTCTCCACGTACTCGGCGCCCCCCTGCAGAATCCTCTCCGCGATACGAGGGTACTGCACACGTTCCACACCAGAGAGGTCGGCCGCCGCCTTCTTCACCTTTTCAAGATACTGCTGCTTTTCATCAGCGCTCTTTTTTTCTGACAGCATTTCCCGCAGCAGTTGTGAGAGCTCTGCGTGTACGCCGACTTCCTTGGCAAGCTCACCAGAGGAAAGCCGTTTCTTCCCGGTGTGCTCATTGACGTACGTGACCAAATCTTCAAGACTTCTGCCGTCTTCGTGGTATAGTGGGTTACTTTTATCCCCTTTCGGAAAGAAGATGAGGGTTGGAAACCCTGTGATCTTGTAGCGGTTTCGCACCGCAGCATTCGCCTCATCGTCGGCATTCAATTTTCCAATAACGACGTCCGCTTCATCCTTGTACACCATAGCGAGGCGTTCAAAGACGGGGTGGAGTTTCTTACAGTGCCCGCACCACGGCGCGTAGAACATCACCAGGGCATCCTTTGTCGTGTCCATGGCAACTGCATCAAAGTTTGCCTTTACGAGCTCCGTCGCGTACGCGCGCTCGCGGGGGATAACAAGATTAAGGCCCTGAACACGGTTGTTGAGGAACGACACAAACGCCGAGGCCTCACGCTGGTCATTGTAGCTCTCCTGCACCTGCGATCCCGCAGGGAAAAATAGAATCGTTGGGTACCCGCTGACATCGAAGCGGGCGGCAATGTCCCGATGCTGCGTGGCGTCAACTTTGCCCACCAACACCTTGTCCTTCGCCGCCTTCACCGCCTGGCCGAGTTTTCCCATTTCCGGCACCATGTTCTTGCAGTGCCCGCACCACGGCGCGTAGAACTCCACAAGGGCTGGGAGGTCCTTCCCAACCTTTTCGTCGAAGTTTGTGGCGGTGAGATCCACGACACCCTCCAGCGAGGCCGCGGGGTCGTCGGCGCGCGCGACAGACGCCAACGCGGCGAGAGCGAACAGCACCGCCAAAAGAAACGTCACACGTGATGGTAAACGGCGCATGCTGAAAAAAATCACAAAGCAAGCAAGCAAAAAAAAAAAAGTAAGTGACTTGTTATTCACTCGTTTATATGTTAGATGCGTATATGCCTCTCGCAGCGGCCAGCCTTTTCTTCTTCTTATCCGACTGTGTACGTCTCCTGCCTGCTAAGCCTGATAAAATAAACCGAGTTTCTTCCTCCTGTGCGTTGTTTCCTTCCGGTTTATATATATATATATATATATATATCTTCCCTTTGGTTCTATTCACCTTAGGTGTTTAAAGGGGTGAGTGGTGTCAAGGGCAAAGACGAGGTAAGCGCAGGCCTCCAAGCCGCAACAACACATCACATCATTCCGCCCAGCAGATGTGAAAACTCCACGATGCATGCATCACCGTGCATGCACACAGAGAAAAAGCAAAAGGAGAAGAACATTATATGCATGCATCACAGCCCGAGCGTCTCTCACCATTAGGAGAAAATGAAGAAGCGCATGTAGACCGTTGCACAGCAAAAATGGGTCCTGACCCGCCAATCGCATATCTTTACAGATGCGCACCAGGCGCGCTGAACGCCAAACAGGGGACAACATTGATAAGACGTGAGCGCGCGCCAGGCCAAAGCAACTGTGTCGACACGATGTTTTTTTTTTTAGCATTGCAAACGGACGCAGAGACGGGTCCAAAAAACAAACGAAAAAAGCCCGCTCATCCAAGTGCTACGCCATGACGCTAATTGGTAGCTGTCCTTAGGTGGTCCATAATCGCCTCGGCGATTCGCCCCGCTTTGGACAAGACCCCCATCTTCTGAAACGGTTGCAGTAGATAAAAAAAAAAAAAGGAACGGATGGACAGTGATCCCAAAGGCCGACACAAATTCTCTGATATGCCTGTTATCCACTTTGCCCCAAATGACTTTTACTCTCAGCACCTCATCCTGTTGCACCACTGCGACAAGCCTGTAAAACACTGCCTCAAATTTCTCGCAATGTGTGAGCCACGTGGCGTAGAAATCCACCAAGACGTATTTTGATTGGTCAATTACTTGGCCGTAGTTTCCGGGCTTCAGTTCCACCTCCCCCTCCACTATAGCACTCGACCCACCTGCAGGAGCGGTATTTACCTCTTTCCCAAAGGCATAAACTACGCCCAGGACTACAAAGGAAAACAGCACCAGCAAAGCCGTCGCAGCCGCGCCCCATACAAGGGGCTGAAGACAAACCGCCCTGCAAAGACTTCAGTTCCACTCTTTTTCTTTTGGTGGTTATCCTTCCTGGAACGCCAGTTCCTGTGTTGTGCTGTAGAAGACTACTCCTGCAGCAAGGGAAACGAAGAGAGTGCCAGCACCACCCCCTTAAGCCCCACAGCAAGTCGCAGGGCATATTTTTTTTATGTTGTTTTCCTTGCATCTACACATACGTATATGTGTGTCAAATAGGAAGCAAACAACTGTAAAACACCTCATAAATGCATGAGTGTCATTGCCTGCTTCTCTCTCCCTCTCGTTACTCCGTGCCTCCCCCGACCTTCTCTTTCATTTTTAAAATTTTTCTTCTTTCCACTTGTTTCCTGATTACGTGTAAAATATTGGCGGTTACGATGGCGGGGGGCGCAGACCACGCGACCTGTAGATGAATGAGGTGCGTTGAAGGCACTCTCACATCCCCCTCACCCCACCCCACCCCCCCATCCCACCCCTTCCTTCTCCTCAGACCCTCACCGGGACTTCTTTCCACTAGCGGCTAGTGCTGGAGTCTTCTTGTCCTCCACCTCCTCTCCAGCCCACTGCCTGCGCAGCCGCTGCATCTCACGTGCCGACTCCTTACGATCCTCCTCTGGCATCAGCTGCATCACACCTATCATCACCATGGAGAAAACCATCAGGAGGAGCATTGGATTCGTTAAAAAGTTCCAAAGACTATACTGCTCCCGCGGCACATAGTACTCATGTACACCGACATGTGGAATAATAGCCGGCGAGGAATCGTCAAGCCCTGTTCCCTGCACAGGCACCATCGTGCCGTCATTTGTGTACGTTCGAATAATTAGTCGGGTTACGCCTTGCGCCGTTTTTTGTGTGACGTCTACGCGAACCGTTGGGTAAATGAAGTTGGCGTACTCCGCATGAAGGTGGTAGGAACCGTGAGGAATGTTATGAACGACGAAGGAGCCATCAGTCTGAGTTGGCACGCGAATCAAGTGGGCACCGTTGCTGAGCACCACCTCACCTCCCTGGACGTGCCACAGCGGGTTCCTGGCGTCAGCGTGGTGAAAAAAGTTTGGATGAATCGACAAGCGGCCATAATACGCTGGCGTGGTGGGATGCTGCTCCTGCTGCGCCGCCACCCCACCAATGGCGCACAACAGGAAAAGCAAGACGAAGAGAGAGCTGTACCCCGCCACCACCGCCCCGTTCAACATCCTCCCTGAGCCTCGCCTAGCCAGCATCGCAAACCCTTCAAATGAACTCTAAAAACGTCTTCAACAAGAAGCGACCTGTGTGTGCTTGAGGGTGCCTTTTATTTGTTGTGGTGTCCCCTTTTTATTTTTTATTATGGTTTGTTTGTGTGCGTTCGTTCGTTCTTCTTTTCTATCTCTTCTACTTCCCTCAACAGCACACAGAAGGGAAAAACATATTAATGCGCAGCACACACACACACACACACACACACGAGCGACAAGTGAGAGAAGGAAGGAGATCACAACATGGGGGTTGTCAGCACAGACGAGGAAGTGGCACCCACTCTGGTGGGGAAAAATAAAACAACAACAATGTCACCAAACGTCCACGACATCTACCACACCAACTGTGCTGCCATTCTTGTTAATCCAACTTCGTGTGTGATGAAAAAGAGCAAGGAGTATATATATACGAGTAGACGTGTAGGTATGTGTATGTATCCATGTGCGTGCATCACTGCATAGCGGAACACATAACTTCGCCCTGTTATGCGAGGTGCCCCCTGTGGTATGCGCAAGCCCACGCAGGCGAGGGGGAGGGGGGAACTCATCATATACGCAAGAGCAGAAGACGTTGTTTTTTGTTTTGTGTGTGTGTGTGTTTTTTTTTTGGAAAAATGTCTGTCTACTTCACCACAAACATGATAAGCAGTACAAGAATGGCCACCAGGACGACAATACAGATAAACTTCTTCCTGTCACTCGCAGAGTCTAACAGTTTTCCAACTTTCCTTATTATACCCTGTAGGCGAAGCTGCGCCCTCGTCATGCCACTGTCGATGTCATCAAGCACGTACTCCTGCGTGTTGAGCTCGTCTTTGATGTTTACGGCTGTATCCCTCACACGATGTACACCGCCGGCGAGGCGGTCAATCGTGGCGTCGTCTGCCAGCATGTGCCGCTGCTGCGCCTCGTGTTCCTGCTGCAAAAAGTCATTGTGCTCCCGCGTGCCGGCCTCTGCCAAAGAGAAATCCTCCTGCTGCGCCACCGCCCGTCGTCGTCGAACGGCGACAATTTGTGCCCGTAAATCAAGAGCCTTTTTCATGTCACGTTCCCACGCGCGCGTCTTCTCAGCACGCGCCTGCAGCTCTTCCGTCGTGATAGCAAACAACTCCGGGTGCTCAATCGCTGTGTCAAGTGCCGCGCGCATCTCTTCCACCTCCTCCACGGCAGCTGTGATGGAGTCAAACATCTCGTCCTCCGCAATGACGGTCGGGTGCGCCACCTCGCGGTATCGCTGCATCTGCACGAGCAGCCCATTCATCATCGCCTCCACCTCCTTCTCCATCCGCGGCCAGGGGTCCTCCCCGCGCCGCTGGCTTGTGACGCCACTACTCATCCGGTTACCCTGCGCCAGAATGCAAATCAGAAAGAGAGAGAACCGTAGAATGCAAAAGCATGGAGCTACCGTGCAGCTCCCCTCCAAAAATGAATAATGTCCATAGGCAAGCACCGCCACGAATACCAATAGAGAGAGAGAGAGAGAAAGAGAGTAGTGTCTACCAACGCCCACCAAATAAAAAATAATAATAATAACACTCGTAATAGGCAAGAAAGAAGAAGCGCCCACACACGGAAAAAAAAAAGGGGAGGTTGTCAATGTTTCGCCTGGTGGAGATTATCTCTTCCCTATTACTACCAGTAGGGAGCTGACAACACTAAAGGAGATTAGAGTTGGGACCATCGTGCCGTACACATTTCACGCCACTCTCCAGCCGAAATATATCCAGCGCATCCCACCAACAACCATAATCCAATGAATTCAAATGGTGTTTTATAGTATTCGGACCTTCCCGTAAAAAACTCGCGAGGTAGCAGCCTTTAGGGGCCGCAAAACACACATACACGTAGAAAGCAAGAGCGGAAGAAACACGTACATACTCACATACACACATTGGCAAACTCCTAACAAAACGCGCAGCAACACAAAATATTTCACAAGACGCGCATCAGGGCTCGGCTACGTAACAGCAACAGCAAAGTGAACAGTGAGCAAATGAGGTGGATCACTGCAATGGCGAAACACACAATTCCTGTGAATGTCAAGCACATGCATATGTACACACGCCGTGCCACAGCAAAAAGGAAACAAAAGAATTACCCTGCGGTTCTCGCTTGTATTGTATTACATGAACAACATGTCCCGTGCTGTGAACCGCCAGTTCTCTTGCTTCGCCAACACATCTTCATTTCCATGCGACAGCTCGCCATCCCCAAGAAACTCAAAAAACTTTGGCACATGTGCTAGCCGCTCCACTTCCAATTCACGTCGTTCTGCACGCTGAGCCTCTTCAACAAGACTCTTGGCATTTGCTGCCGCCTCCACGTCTCCCAGACGAATAGCTGTGGTCAGGTCCCTCCACACCGCCCTACTTTGTTTTTGATATGGATGGCCGTTATTGTCGTTACGTAATGGATATGCATAGGGTCTACCGCAAGGCATGCCACGCCGCCGCTGGAACGCCTCCGCATCAAACAGCGGCTCCATCGCATGGCTTTCATCGTCCACGGAGAGTAGTGAGTGGTGACGTTGCCGCTTTGAACCAACGCTAGCAGTATGCTGCGTACCACGGGGGCAAATAACGCCATGCCACAACCCCGTGTACTCCTCTGCGATACCGTTGCCGTCCGCCGTGCTAATCCGCGCCACCACCTCATCATACATTCCACCAAAAAACTCCTTTCGACGGAAATTCACTGTTGCGTGGGCTGGCGAATGGCAATCCTCCAGTCGAACGACACCACCAAGCTCAAGCCGTGGGGTACCGAACACCATGCCAGAGGCGAACGCGTTGGGTAGTGAGAAGCGACAGGACCACCCCGTCCGTGGAAATTGCACAAGCACAGAGGAATGGCTGATGCTGGCCACCGAGTTCAGCGAAATGAGTTTGCTGTGAGGGAGGTATACCCCCTCAGCAACAATTAAATTAGGCAGCTCGGCGTAGAAAACGCTCACTGGAGGTCGATGACAGACCTGCTCCGAAAGGAAATACATGGAGTCGCTACAGCCTAGAGTCCGCTCCAGTGAACACGTTTCCTGCGCCTTTGCATGAACTTCTCGTGAAGGTGGCACTGACAGCAACGACGGTGGCGCCGGGCACTTGCACTGGAAGACCTCCCCAAGAATGGGGTTATATGGTTTCTTCGCCACCCCCTTCGGTCTCCAGTTATAGGCAGAGAAAAACCAGCACAGCATGACGCGCATGCGGTCCACAGGCTGCCGCACCTCCCCCCACGCCAATGGCATTAAGAGGTCCCACGCAACAAACATGTCGGAAAGCGTTTCTAACAGGGAGCGACTCTCAAGAATGTGTACAGGCAGAGAGACGGAGCTTAGCGAACGCCCAATCCGGATGTTTTTTAACACCTGAAAAATAATGGCCCCATCAAGCCGCAGCGAATTCGCCAGCACCGCAAAGGAATTGTTACTGTTGTCATCCAGTGGATCGCAGATCGCACGATCTTCCGCGGAGAGTATCGGTAGCAACTCTTGATTGCCGCCGCTGCCGGGGCTAGGGCCGGTGGCGTCATCTTCATCGCCCTGCCGCAAGTCCTCCTCTTCGCCAACCAGTAATGGCTCGGAATGTAAACTATGTACGCTCAAACACTGCGTTAAGGAACTCTCCTGAGGCGGGCTCGCACCCGCCCGCTCCTCAGCCGATGAACATGCCGTGAAGCAATCCGCCTCAATAGTTGGGGACCCAGCCGCGCTAGCAGGGAGCAAGGTGTTGCTTAAGAGACCTCGAAGTTTTTGTGAGGCCCGCAAGCCAACCTCATGTGGCAACTCCATCAAAGACAGCCGTTTCTTTTTGTATTCATACCGTCGACTAAGAAGGTAATCATCCATAGAAAAACTATTGGGATTTGGATTCACGAGCTCGTAGTTGGCCCTGTCATCTACGGCGGTAGCGACAGCGTCGGCGGCAGAAGCGAAAGAAACGAGTCTAGTCCTGTCGTCCCAAAGGCCAGGGTGCATCGACGCGGCAGCAGCAGCGTTGGCACCATTTCTCACAAACGGCACAGCACCTTGGCTACACCGCAGACTCGCTAAGCCGAGGTAGAGTTGCTCGACTGCCAGTTGCAGGTGAACCAGCTCCGACGCACCAAACATGGGCTGTAACCTAAGATACGCCATGCAGAATGGATCACCCGCCACGACGACTGGGTCCTCCATAAGAAGCCTCGAAAGCCACTTCAGCCGTGGGACAACCAGAGACTGCAGAGTCCACACAACGCAAGCCACCTCCACCGCCATTATCGCACCAACCACGTACAAGTTAGCACGCCTTACTCCCCCGATAGTTTCAGGTACCAACGTCATTGCCAACAGCAGCAAACTCATCATTGTAATCATCAGAGCCGTAACGATCACCCAGAGAGGCAACACAGACATCCGAAGCGAACCGGTTGCTACCATCTTCCCTCCTATCTAGGAAGCCTCCGTATCAACAATGATGGCACACTACCGCCCTCTGTAATATCGCAAGGCGTATAATGTCTGCCCACGCACGCTCCGTCTTGCACCCGCCTTCTTCGTGTTCTTCCGTCGCAAATGTACACCTCCACCCACAGCGACACACCCCGCTTCGACTACGTATCTCTCCCCCTCACACTTCCCAGAGCGCGTGATCAGTGTGTGTGTGTGTGTGTGTGTGTGTGTGTGTGG